TTTTTGCAGAAAGAAATATGTTTCTCATGCAGAAATCTTAATGAATTCGACTGGGCTCCATTTCTTGGCTTTGAGGTAATGAAAAATTAATTACCATACTTTACAAGTAATAGTTTCCACTCACAACACTCCCTTAGAAGTAAATATATCATAAATAGTTACTATTATAGCAATGGCTGGTGGATTGGGCAGCCTGTCGTCCATAAATCCTTTTTCAACAGACATGTTATTTCTTCTGGGGAACAAACAGATTTGTTTTAGATCAGAGAGTCAACTGACAGATGGCCTTTGTGAAAACACACCATTTGTATAAACAAATTATAGTTTTACCATAGTATTCTGTTTTTGTGGATTTGTAAAACCAATGGCCCCATTCTTGAGAATGGGTCTAAATTATAAGACGCAGTTTTGTTTAGGTATGAGGCCACATTGCCCAGATCTCCCAACACGGATTCTAAGGTCCAAATTCTCTTGATGCATGCTGTCACTTCCCATCACAGTTGTCACAAAGAGTTCTGCCTGGAGGTAATGAACAGGATGATCTCCCAGGGAGCTCAGGCACAGATCAGAGTAAGATACCAACTGGCACTATCCCCTTAGCTCCAGGTTCTGTTTCCATTAAATTGAATGACACCAAGCCATTATTCTCCTAACCACAACTTTGCATAATTGGGGCTGACAATGCATTACCCTTAAAAACTCAAACCATTTTTTCTTTACAATATAGTTCATCAGTCAAATGCAGAACATTCGGTAGATTGCCTTCAAAACCAAACCAGCCTTAACTCTTAGCCACTGCAGTTTCAGTCACTATCAATCTTATAATGTACCCACAGGTAATACACAAATATTCAAATATTGATTTGTTATTCATACATAGATGTAGATACATAGATATGTGTCTACACACACATACCCACTCACACAAATCCCCTTCCCCAAAAACAAGAGATCGGACTTAGTATCCGTGCAGGCAGTTTAGCGCCACACTGTGAAGCTGTCCTCAGCCTGTGCAGTGTGGGTTTGATCCCAGCCGGCAGGCGAGAATCCCACATGGCGAAGCAGACCTCTCCTGTCTTGCCCGCTGCGCCCCTCAGCAGTGTATTTCTTCAGTCTGCCTGTTCTGTTCCCCTTTCTGTCTCCGGTGAATACTCTCACCCTCCAGCACATCTGGCCTGTACCCCGGTTCTTGTATAAAAATAAATAAATCTTAAAAAAAAAAAAAGACAGATTGGTGTTTACCAGGAAAGAAAGGGTTGAGGGTGGGTGATATGGGTAAAGAGGGTAGAAACTAGACTTTGGGTGATGATCATGATATAGTCTACACACAGGTAATTCAATGTACACCTGAAATAATGTATAAACCAATGTTACACAAAAGACCTATCTTCTTCTTGTCTTTAAGATCCAATACTAGTAAAATATTTCTTTAGTTAGGAAATAAAGATGGCCAAAGATATTAAAACAATATTAAGATATTGCCTGTGTGTTCTTGCATAAATGATTAAGATCCTAAAACCACCAGTTCTGAGAAAGGAAATAAATGTTTAACATCAATCACTTTCACTATTTGAAATAAATAGGAAAGACTTTGTATATTTCTAGCTAATAAAAGATATTTAAATCTAATTGCCTAGTATTTTCCAGACTATATGTATAAATAAGATACTGTATTTCTTAGAATAGTGGGGTACTAGTTAGCATGGTATTTTGTCTGCATTCATAACCTCAGGCCCCCCCAAGTTGCTATTCAGAGTTTTGTCAGTTGGTGCATAGAAGAAATTAATACTGCATCTAGAATTGCCGAGCCTATAGTCAAAGAAGAGCTAAAACCAATTATTCCATATGTTTCTATGACACTCCCAAGGAATCTCAGGTTTCTTCAGAGGAGATAAGAAATTCTCAGAGGAAATTAAGCTGGATATATAAATTTTATACACATACACCTGTACATATCAGATAATAAATACCTATATGACAGTCCCTATGGAAGAGGTGGAGGTCAGGGCAATTTTGTGCCAACATCTCAGAAGGGTAAAATGATCGCAAATTACAATCAGTATCATAAAATAGAACTCATAATAGGGGGGAAACTCCACATAATTTACATAAGATCATAAATTTGCATCATGAGAAAGTAAAAATGGTTTTGGGGGGCAAAATCGACGAAGCTATTTTTAAAATAAAGGACTTTGTAGATGAATTACTATTAGGTGAACTGGAATATGAACCCGGTTGCATGGCTGATTCTTTTTGTCTCATCTCTAAATCATATTAAATGTCCATCTCTAAGCAGAGAAGCACTTCATCCTGCATCTCAATAAAATGTTTACTAGACATCCTTGTCACTAATGGAGTCAACTCACAATCAATACATTTATTTATAAAATTATGCATACATACAGGTCAAGGCTTAAGAAAATATTTTAACCAGACCTCCTGTAATTAGACTTTTCACTGATTCCTTGACAATATGCAGTGAGACTTTCCATCATGTGACCAACAGCAAAATTTCTTTGCTTAAAGCAAATGCACATCCCTACTACCAAATTAAGGCAGTAATTAAGAGAATGAACTTGCCACTTCCTAACTCTGTAACTATAGGCAAGTTTCTTATCCATTTTCTGCCTTAATTTCTCCATCTATAAAAAGGAGAAAATAGTGCCCACCCCATAGAGTTGCTGTAAGGATTAAATGAATTACTAAGGGTCAAATCTCAGTGCTGTTACTGTAGTATTTATCTTGTCAAAGTTTCCCTATGCCGTAAGATACTATAGAATTTAAGATTACTGAGTTTGTAATCATGATGACCACATTAAATGTATTTTAACCTACAATATTATCTATTACATTTTTGTTCACATATTAAATGTTCAATATAAATATGCATACTTTAATTAGATCTGCATGTTCTTTTGCATATGTGTCCAATCTACATGCTGAGAAGTTTGGAGTAAGTGGGAATTGCATTCCACTGGGTATCTAGAAAAATGTTGGAGCCTCTGTCACTTCACCCACTTGAATACCAGATTTCTTCCTATAACATAATAGGCTTGACGAAGTGAATGCTGTGATCCCTTCAAAGAAGCAGAGCATTATGAAGCTAACATTCCCCTTGATTTTTGAGTTGTAATGGCATCATCTACTTAAAGACCCCAACCACTATGAAATGGGAGAATCCTGAGTAGAAAATAACCTAGACCAGTCTTTCTTTGGATTGCACATAACGAAATGCTAGGATGAAACAAGTTACATAAAATCCACATAAAAATGGCCACATGTACCATTTTTATTGGGATGTTAAAGGGAGAATGTGAATCTAATATATATTGATGAATTATTCAACTATATCTCAGTCAGCCTGACTGATTGGGTCACAGAGTAGGAATATCTTTCAAGTACTCCCAGAAGACTCCTGAATGTTCTGGAATGCAGGCCTGGAGGTTATTTCTGGTCAAGACTGGGCATCAGAAATCTATATAATAAAGAGGTAGGCACTTCCTCTAGGAAGGGGAAATGGAAACCATTATGAGATACCCCAGGGGATCATTTGAAACCCTTTAAATATACATCTTGGGAAAAGAGGACTTTATCCTGACTAGGTTTTTTTTTTTCCAGTACTTCGACTACCTTCCAGTACTGGAGCGTATCTTTGAAGTCAAAGAGTGAGGTCATACAGAGAGGACAAATGGGATAGGAAGGAGAATAAATAAAGTACCAGGATTGTTCAAGAAGTCACATGGAATTTAAACAAAGAGAAATTTATTTACACCTTCATAATACACATGTGACCTTCTGGGAAGTTCACTGATTTCTCAACAAAACACTTACTTAAAATGCACATGGTCTACAGGGCTATCTACCAATTCCATCAAAAGCTCTGGTCAGTATAAATCCAGAAAGCAGTGGGCATTTGGGGTCTTTCCACTTAAGCAATTAGAGACTCTCAGTCATCGCAAGGTTCCTCATCGCCTAAATATTTACAAGTTCATCGGGTCAAATGCAGAATATACACAGTAAATGGGAAAGGCTTGGGAAAGCATTCATTTGGCCAATGCTGGAGAATTGTGTTTCTCTCTTTTGAAGAGATCAAAACTAGTTACCACAATTCTTTGACTCATCAGGGAGAAATCAGAGGAAGCATGGATGGCCCATCACAAGTTAGCATTTCCCACCAAAATAAACAAATTCCTTTGACTTACTGCTCAGCAATAGAGCCCTGGCCAACATCTCTTAGGAAAGCCAGCACCGACTTCCAGGAAGAACAGAGCAACTACTAATTCCATTATCACACCTGATATGGTCCACTATTTCCGCCCCCACCCCAGTAAAAATTATATTTTCTAGAAACTAATAAAAATTAGTCCTTAGCACAGTAGCCTAGTGCTAACCTTAATACCCGTGGCGATATTACAAATTAACACACTGCAAAACCACCGAATTAAAATTACTGTCCTTGCACAGTCACCCACCAAAACATGCATCTGCTAAGCGCAAATATTATGCAACGCTGGATTCTAAATCGGTCTTTATAAAAAGCCAATAGGCGTGGACATCAATTCTCAGTTCTGGTGACTGCGGTCACCCTATGCTATCGTCCCAGGGGTGGACGCGAGCGTTAATGCATTTGTTACTCTTGAACGACCCGAGACCATCGAAGGTGGCATTTTTCGCTTTCACCTTCCTAAGGCTCTCCCCAGACCTGCCCGATGAACTCCCACGCCGCCTTCTTCCACCAAAGGTGGATTCTGCTAAGAGGAGACTCTGGATCGTGACCCGAGTGCCTCTGTCCCCAGCTCTGGGGAAAGCCTCCTCTTGGGAAGTGGCCCTCGGCGCGTCCAGCAGATCGCTCAGGTTAGCGACGCGGAGGCCGCGCGGTTTTATCATTAATGCTCCTGGAGGACAATAGCTCATCAAGCCCCACCGAAAGCCCCGGACCCGTCGCGGAGCCTGGGCTGGCGGGGGATGAGGCTGAGCGACTCCTCCTAGAGGTGGTTATGTGGAGAAGGAGCAATCCCTTCTCCCTCCTCCTCCTCCCCCCGCTACTATCCGCGGCCCGGAGAACTGCCGCTTGCCGCCATTGACACGCACAGATAGAACCCAAAGAAAGGCAAAGAGTCCTGCCCCGCACCGGCGCCGCGCGGGCCGAACCTGCGCCCCGGGAGAGGCGCGCCGAGGGCACCGGGCGCCCCGAGCAGGCGGCGCAGCACCAGGTGAGCCCGCCATGGCGATGGCATTATTGTTCAGAGGGCTTCGGGGTCTGGAAACAAAACCCGCCGCTGGGGCAGTGCAGGGACCCGAGAGACCCCCCAGCCTCTCCCCGCAGCCCGGCCCCTGTGGGCGCAGCCCGAATCGCGGGCCCTCCCCGCAAAAAAAGAAAAAAAGAGAAAATATAATTCAAGCGCCCAACTTGCTTCTTCGGGAAATAAAGGGAGGGGGGTGCTAAAGAAGCGGTAAAATCCCTGCGGCCGGCGAGGAACTGGGGGCGTCTCGGTCGGTGACCGAGGGCGGAAAAGGGATGCGGGGTCCAGCGGCTGGCCCCGGGCGAAGGTGGCCCGGGAGGGAGCGGAAGGCTCCTGGGGATGAGGAGTTTGGGGCGCAGGAGCGGGAGGAGGGAGGCGCCCGCTGCCGAGGGGGGGCTGGTCCGGGGGCGATGGGCGGCACAGGGTCCAGGGGAGCCGGGGCAGGGCCGTTCGGGGGCCTCCGAGGGTGCCCGGAGTGGGCGCCGGCTGCTCCGGGCTGACAATGGAAGGGGCGCCAAGGCTCCGGGAGGAAGGGACCGAGGCTCGGGGGCGGGCCGCGCCGGGGAAGGTCAGGCCGGGGACGCTGGGCGGTAGGGGCGAGAACACGGGCTGTGCGCGGCGCCCCGGGCGCCCCGGGCGGCGGTGAGCCCCGGGCGAGCGCGGAGGAGGGCTCGGGGCCGGGCACTCCCCTCCGGTTCCCTTTCCGGGGCGCCTGGTGTCGACGCGCGTTGCGCTTTCCCGGGGAAATGGCGGCCCCTCTGCAGCTCGCTTGGGCAGTCCCGAGTTCCCTCTTTGCGCGGGAAAAAATAATAATAATAATAAAGAAAAAGGGAATAAAAGTAAAGTGGGTGCGCTGCAGGAAAGGGCTGCGCCGGGCAGGAGGCACCGCTGCGGGGTGCGGTGGGTGGTGACCGGCTCCGACTCCCGGGATTCCCAGCCCGCTCTCCCGGCGCACCCGCCTTCTAAATTGTGCCAGCGTGTCTTTCCCCACCTTTCCTCGTGGGGGCGCCCTTGGCTCCTGCCCTCTTTGTTCCTCACAACAATAGCCAAAAAGGACATGGAGCCCCAAAGGGCCAAATTTGCTTCCTTCCCTCGGAGTTTCCAGTCGCAGATTTGTCTTGACTGAAAATGGGCCTCTGTGGGCTTAACTCAGGAATTATTGGCAGTGGCGGTAAGGGTGAGCGAAGGGATGAAAGGGCCAGAAGAAATGAGCTGAGAAACCAAAGCGTGGGCCCACGTGTATTCGAGGGGAGCACCAGCCCACAGTCCTGATGGGCAAGGCAGTTTCCATGTTCCAACAGCGCTGGTGAACTGGGGGTCTGCCCAGCGTCCATCCAGGAACCCAGGTGAATTCAAAACCCAACCTAGGTCTAAGCTCCCCAGACCAATGAGCGACCAACCCGGCATGGCTAAAGGTCTCCTCACTTTCCTCTTCCTTGTCTGTGTTGAAATAAAATTGCACTCTCACAGCGCTGAAATTGTTCAATGGGTGAGAGAAAAAGAAAATTATTAAGAGTGAAAATGCGTCTTTGTTTCTGTTGTTTCCTATTTGGGACCAATTTCTTTGTAAAGCACAAACTAACCTACAATTTCTCCATTCATTCCTATTTAACTGAAAGTTAGCTTACCCCTTTGGAAAACTTATTTTCAAATAAATGTTCAGAGCGCCAAGATTTGGAACCATGCTCATGGATTTTCAGAATTGCTTTAGCCCAAGATTATCATATAAATAAATACAGGCACTGCCTGGAGGGAAAGTTTATCTTGAATCGCATAATTCACACCTTTAAAGCCTCCCTTTGCTCTATCCAAATTTCCCTTAAAAATATGTTCTCCACTCCAGTTTTTCCTACCCTGTTACAGTTACTCCCCACCTGGATCCATTTATTGCCATGCTTTAGACATTATTGATGGTTTCCTCTGCTTCAAAACTATAAATGAATTTACCTTTTTGGATCCAGAATTTCCAAAGATTCTAACCCTCCTCCCTTACCATTCCATCTTCTGTCTGGTTCCCAGGGATTCTGAGGCGCCTTTGATCTGCTGTTTCTCAGTGGTGGGGACACCCTGCTAGCTATTGTCTGAGACAACCAGGTCTGTTTTCACTGCCTCCTGCCAGGAAAGCAGGAGGCAAATCCTGTCTTAGGCAACTTTGAATGAAAAGATATCTGTAACTTGTTTACCGGGAGGGATGTGAAAAATTCAACCAACTTTCTTAAGAATGTTTTTCATTTTTAAGAAATAACCTCAGTGAGATGTAACATTGGTGAGTGCTTTTGAATTGTCTATATTGGTTCAAGATCATCCAGCAAGCATTTATGGAGCACCAATTATTAAATACCTTCAGATGGAAAAATATGTGAGAAATGTGAGAAAGCCATGGGCTCTCAGGGAGCTTACAACCCCGAGGTTGGGAAATACAATACATGTGCAGGTAAAATAAGGTAGAAATGGTTAATACTGGCAAGCTAGGGGAAATGGATACTTTTAACTACTACTGACGGGTGTGTAAACTGATATAGTCAATTTGGAGGGCAGTTTGGCATTATTAAAATTAATAATGTGAGCCTTCTGTGCCTCAACAGTTTAATTTCTTGGTGAAGCAGGCATATGTGTGCACAGATTATGTAATTTCTTTCCACTGCAGAGTTTTGGTAGTTCTGAAATTGATAACAATCTTATAGCCATCATAGGGAATAGCTTAATGAAATCTGGCACATCTATCTTCTGGAAAATTAGGCAGCCGTTTAAAAGAATGATGTGAATCTATATATATTCTGAGACTGAAAGGTCACCAAAACATATTGTTAATGAAAAAGGCAAATTGCAGAATATTACATGCTGGTACCATTTAGTAAAAGCAAATATGCATAACATAGTCCTCTGGAAGAACTAAAAACTATGTATTTTTAAGTAAAAATGTACATCTAAATGGTTAGAAAAGTTATCGAACAAGACACCCACTAAGAGAGGCAAAAATAGGAGGACTTTTTGAGTTTAGTCACATTGTTCATGCACATCTGTACCCATTGTTATAATATTTGAAATTTGACAATTTGAATTAATGTATATATTGTTTGGATAATTAAATACAATTAGCAATTTTACATTGACACATAATGTATAATAAAAGCCACAAATAAAATGCTACAGTAATTTTTTTTTAAAGATTTTTTTTATTTATTTATACAAGCACTGGGTACAGTCAGAAGTGCAGGAGGGTGAGAGAATTCACCAGAGCCAGAGCAGGGAGCAGAGCAGGCAGAAGGACCGAAGTACACTGCTGAGGGGAGCAGCGGGCAGCAGGAGAGGTCTGCGCGCCATGTGGGACCCTCCCCCGGTGGCCGGGCAGCAGCCGGGGATCGAACCGGCGCTGCAGAGGCTGTGGGCAGCTTCACAACCCAGCGCTCAACCGCTGCGCCACCGGGGAGGCCCTACAGTAATTTTTAAAGGCAGAAGAAAACTTTAGGTGGAAGGAAGGGGTAAGGCAAGGCTTCTAGGAGGATGTGGTAGTATTTGGAGAGAGGAGGAGAAGGGGACAGGGCAGGTAGAAGGATGCTTGACAAGTCATAGCCCTCACTGCTCACCCTCTTTCTTCAACCTGATTGTGTAAATCCCCTTACAAGATAGAGTCCTGGCCTCCCCTGCCAGGGTTCAGTTTGGGGAGTAAACTAAGTGGACAGTTCCGAACTTCTTTCATTGCTATGACTCCGGGATTGTCAGATTAGATTAGACTTAGAAGGGAAAAATGAGCAGTTGAGGATATAAGTTCTAACCATGGTATTGGAAGGTGGCATGGTATTGGAAGGAATATAGTGAAAACTTGAGAATGGGAGATTTTTTTCCCTCCCAGCTTCCTACTGGGATGTATGTTGGGAATCTGGTTGAGGGAATGGTGTTTAAGGAGCCAATTCATTTCCTCCCAAATCACAAAAAGAACTCCAAACTGCTTTTGAAATAAATATTCAAGGCTGGTTCTTTTATTCATGATGTCATTTATGGTACTTTTTTGAATGTTGATTATGTAGGTAACACTAGACTAGGTGTCATGGGGGTGGCACACACAAAAAAGCACAGCAGATACACCCCTGACCAGGGTTCGGAAGTCAGGCTAAGAGGAGGGGCTCTAGGTCTGGCCTCACACGGACTGTGGCTATGGACAACCTCTTCTCCCATGCCACATCTTGTATTGTGGCTAAAACTGAAGTGGGCTCCTAGGAATCTACCCAAAGGACACAAAAACACCAACTCAAGGGCCTCTTCAGTGGCACAGGGGTTAAAGACACAGTGCTATCAAGCTATTGCCAGCCACGGCAGCACTAATTTGATCCCTGCCTGGCCAGGGAGCTACCCACATGGCGCACCACACCTCTCCTGTCTCAGCAGTGCTGCTCCCCTCAGCAGTGTATTTCAGTCGATCTGCCTGTTCTGCTCCCCACTCTGTCTCTGGTGAATCCTCTTACTCTCCGCACCTCTGGCCTGCACCCCAGTTCTTAGATGCATAATAAATAAATCTTTGATTTAAAAAAAAAAGCAAAACACCAATTCGAAAGGAAACCTGCAGGCCTATGTTTATAGCAGCACTGTTTACAGTAGCCAAGTTAAGGAAACAACCAAAGTGCCCCAGAACAGATGAGTATGTCAAGAAAATGTGATATATACACACAATGGAATACTACTCAGCAATCAAAAAAGATAAACTCATGCATTTGTGGCAGCATGGATAATGGAAGGGATTATTCTACGTGAAGTGAATTAGAAGGAGAAAGATAAATACTGGATGGTTTCACTTACTGATGGAATATAGAGAATCCCAGCAAAGGATCAGAGTAAGACAAACTTTAAAACCAACCCTTAAAAACTAACCATAGATCTGTGGCATCCAGGAGGGGCGGGGGAGCAAGAGGGTAGGGGAAGAAAAGTGAAGGGAGGAAGAGAGCACAGTGGACTGTGGTGGAGGACTGTGGGTG